GTTCGGCAGTCGTCGTTTGATAGAGTTAGAATGCCCATGTTTGCCATGGAGTCGGAGGAAGAAGGAACAAGGGAAGGTGAAGATATGGAGGAAAAAAAAATTGTAGGGAAAGAGAGATTGTAGGTGTAAGAAAAAGTGGGGGTTGAGTGTGGAGACGTGTGATGGAGACGGTTGAGTCTGGAATGTCAAGAGTTAGAAGATATGGGAAGATATGTAGCAATGATGATGTTAACTCGTGTAGGTTAAACTAGGGTAACTAAATCTAGTTAAACTAGGGTTGGCGCTGATACCGCAGGAGAAAACTAATGGGCTCGCACGTTCCAGGCCCAATTTTGAATATTTCATGGGTCATGTACAAGCCCACGTTTGAATGTTATTTAAAAGCCTGCAAAAATCAATGATCAGACCCAGTCCAACTAGAATTAGTCCTAAACGCAGCGTTAATACATAAACACAAATTAAGGAGACCTCTCCATCTGATTCGAATCAAATTAGGTCTTCTTCATCTCCTTCCTCAATCCTCTGGGCGAGACGAACACTGCATATCAGGAAACCTTAATTTCACCGAGAGATATAATCACAATAACGCTAAGACAAGATGACAAAGCACTAGTGACATGAACCCTAGGGTTAGCAAACCTCTTTCAAGGGTTCTTTTCCAAATGAAAAGTTCGATGAACACAATAATAGACATGGTCGCCGTAATCGTGTTAGAAAGAGATAGGCGAGGGGAAATACAATGGCGAAGAAGAAACAAGACAAATTATTTTTGGGAAATTCAATCTACTTCGAATGTGGATGGGGGGCTTCTCTTGGAACTGTGAAGGGGCGTCCCTCCAAGACGAGAGAGGGATCGTGTAATTGGTTAGGGAGACTGGAAATTGGTTTGGGCGGCAGTGGGTCTACCCAATTGGGTTTGGGTCTTAATCCATTTAATTTAAACGGGGCAGTTAGTTGGACTAGGATGAAAACTAACTTAACGCGGAGGAGGCTTTTTGTAATTTGTTTAGTTATTTAGTGGCGCAGCTAGGTTTAACAAACGTGAGCCGTGGAGATTGAAAACGAACGGTGAAGATCGGCCAAGGTACCCGTACCCGGGTTTTGCCCTGGGCACCGTAGAAGTCACCATATATATATATATATTATATATATAATATATATATAATACGTATACTTATCCGATCGATATAATCCGATTTTCGTCGAAATACTGCCAAAATGCTCGATTTTAAATCGCGAACTTTCTAGCGATCGAAATATGGGTTTTGCCGGAACGGGATGTTACAACAAGTACTCCCAAACCATCCATTCCATACCACTACATTAGGGCTGGGAAACAATACGGTTTGGTCCAGATCAGACTATATATACGGTTTATTTTTAACTGATGCCTTTCTCCGACTTCCAACCACATTAAAATAAGTATCACACATAATCAGTACCACTAAATGAAATCAATACCACTACATGGAAGCAGTACCACTATAGAAAAACCAGCACCGATGTGAAACAAAACTAATACCCCCCTATGTAGTACGAGAAGAGCGAAAATAATACTAGTACCCCAAACTGTTACTAGAATTAAAAACCTAAACACCCCCAAACAAGTACCATACGAACGGAAAACATTACAAGTACTCCCAAACCACCAATACCAATACATTAGGGCTGAGAAACGGTGCGGTCTGGTCCAGAGCAGACCATATATACAGTTTATACGGTCCATACTATAGACCAGAGACCAAAGCACGTACTATACGGTCCATACTAGATAGACCACAATGAACAAAAAGTAAACAATTTGTTGGGTAAAATACCTCTGGTACCACTTAACTTTGAGAATTGTGGCAGACATACCACTTAAGTTTGAATAGGGCGTCGGGTAGCAATAAAGTCACCAAAAGGTGCATCCGTCTAGTTTTCCATCGAACCCAAAAATTTAATTACCTTTTGGTACCCAAAACTTTTTCAAACATCCAAAACTATATTTCAACAAGTGTTATCTAATATAAAAATTAGAAAACATTCTAAACATAGTATTACTAGAATGAATAATGAAATGTTTTCAATAAAATAGATAAGTTAGTATAAATAATAAATGAATATAAAGAAGAAATAATAAATATACTAGAAAATAATAATAAATATATAAAATAAATATTAAAAGATATATATAAGATCAACATTATGTAAGAAAACTAAATATAACATCCTCAGATTATTTATATCGAGACAGAATTCATAGGATATATTTGCTTAAGAGAATAATTCAATAAGTAGAACACATAATGATAATTAAATATACTTATAATGATAATCGATTCTAAATTTCTTACTCAAAAATTGGTCTGGTATAAAACAGAGTCTTCAAAAGATTATTCCAACTAAACAATTAAAAAATAATTTTTTTTCATAAGTTCAAATGATGTTTTACAATAACAAAAAGTAGAAGGACCAATTCTGAAATTTAGAAAACGGAATATTCCAAGAATATTCTTTTAACTTTAATAGAATGCACTTGACAGTAAACTTAAGTGGTACCAGATGCACATATAATAGAGTTCAGTGGCACATGATGCCCTATTCTTATTTAAGTGGTATAGCTCCCCCAATTATCATACTTTAGTGGTACCCGATATATTTTACCCACAATTTGTTTAGTCAACAACAAAAAATGAATCAATAACCGAGATTTTTTTTTGCCTTCAAACATAAACTCCAACATGCATGGAGAATTTTGACACCCTAAACCTCAGTAAACAACAAAAATACAAAGTTAAATCATACCAAATTGCACCCTAACGTTATAAACATTAACATAATGTCATATGGAGTCACGATAATCTTTACTCTTTGGTGACATGTTGTTGTGAATGAAGGAGGAGAGGAGTTTCTAAAAAATATAGGGTTGAGACTTGGGTTTCATTGGGAGAATCGAGAGAATAGTCAAATGGGCTGCTAACACGTATTACTTTCTCGACCGGGTCCACGGTTTGTTCCGCTAAATCGTGGTCTAGACCAGACCAGACCAAGATGTTAAAACATCATATAATACATACCATAGACCAGACTAGACCATTCTTAACGGTCTACAGTCCAGACCAAACTGTACTATCTAGTCCATGGTTTTTCAAACAATGTGGTTTATTTTTCCAGTCCTACACTACATATAAAGAAATACCAACATAATAAGATCACTATTAGAAGAAAAAATTCCAAATATGTGTGTTGGGAGAGAGATGAATCACGTGAATGTCGTAGGAAGGATTAAGTGGTGTTGATAGTCTGTCAGTGATGGGGGAACATGGAGAGGGTGTGGGCGAGGGATGATTGGAGAAGGAGGACAAGAGAAGCGGAAGGGAATTTGGTGAAGAAAGGGGTATCATTGGCCTTGAACCAATTCATTTTATGCAGAGGAGGGACTGGGTTGCCTTTTGGATGTAGTGTCAGGAGAGCATGGGAAGGTCGGAGGCAGAAAGATGGAGGTCAGCTATGGTGCATTTCTAGTCGGGGATGATGGGGAATTGGAGGGTTTTTTTGGAGATAGGATTTCCTCTATAGATGGAGAACGTGGCAGAGAGAGGAGGAGGCGGAGGATGGAAAACTAGGATGATAACCGATGGAAGATGAGAAGGCAGAGGGGGAGAGAGGACGAGAAGGGGAAGATGAAGGGTCATATACGGAAGGTTAGTGATCACATGTGGTAGTCTTTTTTGTTTTCACAAATATCCCAAAGCCAATCTCGACTGTCATTTTGAAAAAAAGGAGGAAATAGAGGGTGGATTGCTTTGTTGTCTCGTTGCAAACCCCTTGCTGGTTTACAAGGAGTTTGCATGGTAACATAATCATTTGTTAGGGTGCGTTTGGATACAAGGATTTGGATTTGGTATTTGTGATTTGGATTTTCAAATACCAAATCATGTGTTTGGATATTAATTACATTTGGTATTTGGATTTGTGTCAAATTCATGGGGTGATTTCCAAATACATGTCTAGTGTATTTTTTGTCAACTTCAAATACATTTCAACAACTAGTGATTTGAAATACCTCCTAACAAAAGAATGGACCTATTTGTAAAATATGAAAAGTTTAGGTACTATAGTGTGCGGCAAAACATATAAAGGTACCAAAATGTAATTTTACCATCAAAATTTCAGGACCTTTTTGTAAAATTTTAAAAGTTTAGGTACTAAATTGTACGAAAAAATAATTTCGGGTACCAAACTGTAATTTACCAAAATTTGTAGTAAGTGGCCAAAAAATTAGAAATTGAAATTGAAAATCATAAATACAAAAATACAAACAAATTACAAATGAGTATCCAAACAATGAATTTGAATTACATGTATTTCAAATGCTAATACTTCAAATACATCCATTTCAAATGCTAGTATTTCAAATACCTTACATTTAAAATACACTTATCCAAACGCACCCTTACACGATTTTTGTTGTTAGATTCGAGTTTATGTGAGATTTGACCAAAAGTTAATGGTTCGACAATTGAAACAAATGTGGCATCCAATTGGATGAGCACTTCTGCTATGCTATATAGCATTGGTGCTTTAATGTACAACTTGACATTGTGCATAACATTAAATGTATAAGTTTAGGTTGTACCATAAAGGAATTTGTACCATTATGTTATGGTACAACTTTACAACTTGAAGTTGTACCATCACATAAGGTACAAGTTTAAGTTGTACCATAAAAGAATTTGTACAAAAAGTATAGGTACAATATGAAGTTGTACCATAACGTTAAAAGTACAATTTCAAGTTGTACAATAAAAGCAAAAATTCCTCCCAATTGGAGTGCTAGTTGGATGGGACGAAAGTCATTTGGTTTTAACTATTTGAGCATGTGAAAACTCACTGAATATGTGAGATTTGGCAACTCAACATGCAATACGACAATAGTAATACTATTTACTATTACTCTTTTGGAGTTCATAAAAACAATTTAAGTGAGAATAATAAACCGAATTCAATTTCTATAACCATAAATTCGACTTGGACTACATTACAAGTGGCACACAAAACCCTTTCTCTACTATTTTATCGATCTCATTTCTTGGGTTGTGGGAAGGGTAGAGCAAGAGCATAGCTTTCTGGTAAATACAAATAGGCTCGCTACAACAACAACAACAATCACGAATCAAAGCAAACGCCAAAAGGAAGACGTACGTAATAATATGACTAATGATCGCAAGCAAGAACAAACAAAATCGGTTTGACAGATTCCAACCGAAAGCCCATCACTGTAAGGATATGATCCAAAAGCTAGCTCAGCAAATCGCAACAAAGCAAGCAAGACAACCAGACAAAGTGGAAAAAGGAAAAAGCTATCTTCCTCCATTTACATTCATCTCCTTTACCAACCAATCGAAATCCGGCTGTTTCCACCATTAACGTGGGACTAGCATTAGACACCTAGCTAATCCATCTATCTACTCTAAACCCCGCCGGCGCCGGCGGCCGTCCCCCATTCGCAACCCGGCAATTCCTCCTCACTTCCCCTGGCCTCCCTGACTGCAAATCCCCCATCTTCACCATCCCTTCCACGAACGCCCGGAAAAACTCCTCCTCGTCCCGGCTGTACCGCTCCACGTACCTCCTCGTCGCCGGAAAAGTGTACAGCGTCTGATCGGAGTTCAGGAACCCTCTCCCGCCGACCAAATCCCTGAAGTACGCGTTGTCGAACACCACCGGGGTGGAATCCAGCCCCACCGTCACGTTGTCGTCGCCGCCCATCGGGCACAGATCCATCAGCTTCTCCCGGAAATGCGGCTCGATCGCCGGGTCGGGCCGACCCGACCCGGACTGGTTGTAGAGGCGGAATTGGATGGAAAAGCAGCGGCCTTTGCCGATGGAGTGGGAGCCAGAGAGGGCCACGAGGTCCTTCACGGAGAGGTTGTAGCGGGCGAAGAGGTCAATCAACATCGTGGCGTTGGCCCGTGGACTCGGCATGATCGCGTCGGCGTCAGCCTGGCTCGCCGTCAGGCTGTCCAGCCGGCCCAGCTTCACTTCCCAGTTCGGCCCACCCGTCTGATTCACGAAAACAGAGTACACAGAAAACAGAGGATTAAAAAAACAGAGGATAATTGGAATCAAATTATGAATTCGATTGAACCGAAGGAAAAGTTGTTTTACCAGGGAAACAGCGTCGCGAGAAGCCATGATGATGATATCGGCGCAGGAGACCACGCCGGGGCAAGCTTTCTCGAGCTCGGCCTTGATGTCGTCGACGACCTCGTACGATCGGAGGGAATCGATGTTGGAGAGGGAGAGCTTTTCCCCAAGCATGGTGTCTGTGTCATCCATCAGCATTGAACCATCGCATCCCTGTTGGGAAGAATAGATCAATTCATTTCAATCCTAAGTTTACAGAGCAAAAGAAAGAAACAGAGTGTTTTTAGTTTTGTGATTACATTGACGAAGCAGTCGTGGAACTGGAAGCGCATAACGGAGGCAGCGCTTCGTGGGTCGGAGAGGAGTGACTTTCTCATGACCTCCCTGACGATGAACTCGGCGGGAGGGCAGGTGGCGGAGTAGTATCCGCGGCGGAGGGGAGTCGCCGCCGGTGATGATGTGGTGGTGGTGGTGATTAGCAGGAGAAACGCGAGTGATGAGAAGAGAAGGGACATGTTGGTGGTTGTGGGGGGATTCTGAATTCACTTGGTCAGTCGTTTTTGGAGGGCTAGAGGTTGAGAGAGAGGCGTGAGTGAGAGTGAGAGTGGAAAGGGAAAGCCAGAGGGGCAACTACTACTCCTCTTCCTCTGCTTTTTTTGTGTGAATGGACCAGCAGGGGAAGGAAGAAAGGAGAGCTTTTATAAGCAACATTTAGTGATAGTGGGGATGTGGGCACTATCGAAACCAATTGGGAAGGGGGGAATGAATGACTGACTTTACGTTACATACTAAACCAATAAACTCTTTCCTTATCACCTTGTTGACATTTGTTCCATCCATGGAATGGAATAAAGGAATTGGTTATGGCGTATGGGGGAGAATTGCAGTGAAAACAGAGCACTTTATCTTTTTCTGACAGAGGAGCGAATTGAGAGGTTACACTTTTCGATTTGTTAATGGCGGCTTAGTGCTTTGTTATCTACGACAGGGGAGGGAGTGTGAAATGATGTTGTAATTGACATTTTTCTTCCACAAAAACAGTTTCGTGTGATTGTATTTCTCGTCGTCTCCCTTTAACATGATTCACTACGACCTTGACTCGATGTATTAAATTGCAGTTTCTTTTGGTTAATGAGTTGGAGGTGATGATTGATGAACATTTTACACTCCCTCGTCCGGGGGAAGTTTGCAAAAATGGACAAGTGATCAGCAGTTTTTGATTTTTCTTTTTTTGGCTGCTTGTTGGTGTCCAACGGAGGTCGTGGGAACATTGAAATGGTACTTGAAGAGGTTGTTCCGGATACTGAATGATCTCCTTGTATTTAGTGGTTTGGTTAAAAGTCCTTCTCATCAAATGAGAGCCATGAGACAAAGGCTAACATTGAGTATTGGGGGTTTTTTTTAATGGGAAAATGGAGTATTGTGAGGATTTGAAATGGTGGTTAAAGAGGCTGTATTTAGTGGTTTGATTAAAATTCCTCTTCCCCTCAAACAAGAGACTAATTATGTGCTTGAAGTTTTCACATGCTCGGCATACCATGTGGTTTAAGATAACAGTTAATATTGAGGGTAATGAGTACTTGAACACGTGGTATCAAGGACAAACCAACTTCGTTTCCATGTCATGAACTAGTTGGTCCCAACAACTCGAGTTGTTGGGAGAAAGTTATTATGGATCTTGCCTTGTACTTTAAGTAGTTGTTTATATTGAGGGTAGTAAAGATTCGAACACACGACCACTTGGCTAAACCAACTCTGATACCATGTCATAAACTAACAAGTCTCAATAATTCAAGTTGATAAAAAGTTGCATATATGGTACTCATACCACTTTCTTACATGGGTAATGTTGGATGGGAACTTGTGAGTTATGAAATAGTGGGGAATGACCAAAAGGTTGTGTACTATATTTCATAAAATTTTAATTTTTGTTGGTTCTCCGTATATTTCGGTATATACCGACAATGTAGTCAAAAGCGAGTTTCTACGTAGAAACGTTTTGCTGATCTAGAAGCGTAAAATCGTAAGTTTTTAAGTAGAAGCGTTTTAGTGAACTAGAAACGTAAAATCGTAAGTTTTTAAGTTTTAAAGCGCGATTTTGACTACATTGTATACCGATCCCAATCCCGTAATCCCGAATACCAAATAACACTTCAAAATGAATTCCAATCCCGATCCCTAAAAATAAATCGATATTCGATAATACCAAATAGTGATAAGTTCAGCACGAGATATCACAAACTTCCTGCTTTAGATCTCGATCTGAAATCTTTTTTTTTTAACAATTAAGATTGAGGTATATAACAACGAGCTAATGTATTAACAAGATATCACACTGGAATTAATTCTACAATTGAGGATATGTAATTGGGATGGTCAGAACAAACCAAAAAATGCAGGTAGTATAATCTCGACCTTGTTTAACTAATAATCTACGATGAAATATACAACATGTATGATAGAGATGGGTAGTCCACATATCACTAAAACAAGAAGATTATATCAGAAGTGAAACATGCAATTTTATCATTTGCTTCTTGAGTTTCACTACATATCTTAGTCGAACTAAGATTTAAATGAACATAATTTGCATCTTAAGGGCGCCTCATAGAATTTTAAGGCCTTTTGTTTTGGTTTATGTTTATCCACTTACAATATTTCAATATTAAGCCTCGGAGCTATTCTTTGTTTTCAAGCTTGCTAGCTATTCTTTGTTTTGGTAACAGAACCGGATGTCGAAGTGCAAAAATCAGTGATTTATGATTCAGTGGTTAACTGTTATAGAATTATTGGTTAAACATTGATGGTAAAAGATAATATATATGGTGGCGTATTCGGCGCACCCAATTTTTTGGGTGCACTCGGTGCACCCGCCTCATAATCATCATTCTGAGCATGTGATTCATGTCAAAATGGTATCAATTGTTGCTTATGATATTATGAACAAGAAGCACAAGAATTTGAAAAAAAAAAATCATTTAAGATTTACTTTAATTTGAAGGATTTAGGATTTAGGGGTTTAGGGTTAGGGTTTAGGTTTATAGTTTGGGATTTTGCGTTGTGATTCAAAATTGAAGGTTAAGGGGTTAGGGTAATAGATTGATTTGTTATGATTCTATGTCATATCATCATATTAGATTGAGATTACTAATTAAAGTTCAAAATTTGATGTATTATGAACACTTTTAGAGATAAGTGCACCCAAAAAAGTGAGTGCACCAAAGTAACCACTATATATATATATATATAATACACTAATTTAGAACTAAAATTATCACTCTAATCACGAACAATTTCAAATTCATATCATCTAGCATAAAAAGTTATAATAAATCATTCAAACTATCTAAGAAATAAATCATAATCTATTTTTATTAAATTAGACTTATCTAGTAATTAGGGTGACAATCCGTGATGAACCACACAATGCCAACAAAGAGGTTGAGAAACAAAGAAAATGAAGCAAATATAAAAATAATAATTTTTGCTGGATAGTCTTAGTTTAAGTTATATTATTTTGTTCTCATAACTTTTTGATGGTTAAAGTAGTGAACCAATAAAATATGGGTGGTCCATGTGCTTTTATGTCTAACCATTAAAAATAATTTGATCCATTCCAAGCAATCCAAGCAAATAGCAAGAGCTTATAACTGGTTTGTTGGTTCTATTGGTACAACCGTGAATCTAACCCGATTCTTATAACAATTTTTCAACATTGTGTTCTACCGAGTCCTAACATTGCACAATTATGTTGTTAGAACTCCCAGGGGCTCTTACTAAATCTCAATCATTCATACAAGTAATTACGGTAGGACATGCCTCATATATGTCAAATCTTGAGCACAACTTGAAGATTAATCATTAAATTCAACTGTTGAAATGAAGTGGTGTATTTTTACATACTCAATATTTAGACGATATTTTTATATCCCATGCTTACTTCATATTGATTGTCCACATACGATTTGTATCATTAACCTTTCATCCTTGACAATGCGGGAAAAAATCCAAAAGTACCACTGTTTAAAAAAAATTCCAAAAATACCACCCAACTTCAAAAAATTCCAAAAATACCAACCTTTTTCAAAAACCGCCACCCCACCCTGTGGTTTACACGAAAACCGTTGGGCGGGGGCACGGTTTTCTATGCAAACCGCTGGGCTAAGGGGTGGTTATAAAAACCGCTGGGTGGGGCGGCGGTTTTGGGCCAAACCGCCACCCCACCCAGCGGTTTGGTCCAATTTTTTTTCCCCGATCAACTCCTAACTTCGGTCGAAACTTCAAACGAACGCAAAGTTACGTTCGTTTGAAGTTTCGGATACCCGAGTGCAAAGTTACGTTCGTCTGAAGTTTCGGCCGAAGTTAGAAATTGATCGAAAAGAAATTTTTTTTTGGACCAAACCGATGGGTGGGGTGGCGGTTTGGCCCAAAATCGCCGCCCCACCCAGCGGTTTTTATAACCTCCCCTCATCCCTGCGATTTGCATAGAAAACCGCGCCCGCCCAGTGATTTTCATGTAAACCGTAGGGTGGGGTGGCGGTTTTTGGAAAAGGGTGTTTATTTTTGGAATTTTTTTAGGTTGGGTGGTATTTTTGGAATTCTTTTCTTAAACAGTGGTATTTCTGGAAAAAGTCCGACAATACGTCTATATGTTGTTGGTGCCCCAACATATCCGCTTCTTCATTGATCGTATATACATCACTCACATCTACACTATATCACTACGATGGTATGAAGTCGATACAAAATTGGACGAATATTTAATACGTGATAAACATAATCTAAACAACTCCAATACAAAACCCTTACAACTAAGAGTTTCTGTAAATTTGAGTATCCATACATTGTAAAAGTGGTTGGCCTTTCTGGAAGAAAGTACGAGACGCATTTGATAAAAGTTTTAAAGCAAAATTTCCAAATATGCAGAACGCAAAATATATGTGTAATTATCAGGAGAGATGCTATGTTATCCTTTTGTTGTTTTTAGCTTTTCACGTATGGTTGATGGGTACGTGGGTTGGGTGGGATGTCAACAAATTTTGTGTGTTATGGAAATAGGAGGCAGCGGCAAGAGAGACAAATTGAGGCTAAGAAAGGCAGCTGCTGTACGTGGTGATAACGTTTGTCCTAGAATTCTGGTAATGATCTTTGATTGATTGGAAAACGTTAACAACTGATCAATCTCGGTCATCTTTTATACAGAGGCGAAGGTTTGGAAGAGAGAGAATAAGAACAGGGAGAAGTAGGGGTGGTGTTTCCCGCCAAACCAAATATCCACCGCCGGTGTTGAGTTTGTTTCCGGCGATGTTGATTTGATTGTTTCGCGGTGGAAACTCTTGCGGTGCTGTTTGATCGGATGCACCACTGATTGATGAAATCAGAACGACCGTCAAATCTTCATCGAGCGATGTTGATTTGATCTATGCACATCTGAATTCTGAAAACCAAGATGATCGTCAAATATCCACCGCGTGGTGTTGATTTGATCAATGCACCTCTAACTTCTAACCAATAACTACCGTTACTCGGTTCACACATCTCCAAACAATGTTCGAACGAGGGTGTTTGAGTTTTTAGGGACTACGTTAAAACTACTGCTATGGAGATTCCCGTGGTGAGCTCCGCGACTATACTACGACTACGACTATGGAGATCCTTCCT